TTTCCAACTGTTTGATGAACGGTTCCCCGTGATCCTCTGTGAGCCATTGGCAACTGACAGCAACCAGGGATGACTGATATTTCAACTATCTACCACAGTAATAGCACGGAAAACTTATATGTCAAACATGTCATGGATCCATATTTGATATACCAGAGATAGCTTAAATATGATTAATTCAGGAAATTTCATTGATAGGTTGCGGTCTTTGCCACATATTTATTCTCCCACTTGCTCTCCTTGCCTGCCTTACAGTATTAACCAAAGGCAACATTACCTCCGCGTTTATACACCGGTCTATATTCCAACATGTGTGGAGACTTTGGGTGCAATAAATGGGATATATGGTTCAACACATATCCCCCAGCTTATTCCTTCGTTCCCTCCCTCCAGACAACAAGGAAAGTCATAATTCATGAAACTGAAACACAGGTCCAGCCTCGCTTTTCCAAAGCTGTCTGCCGCGAGTTAAACCACCAGGGTCCGCTTCGTCCCCTTCTGTGTCCCTTGCTCGATAGCCATCGACGTCGAAGCATCTGTCGGTGTCCCCAGGAGCACATACGGGCCCAGCACTCGACAGTTCGTTGAGACAGAACAACATGAATAAGATCCCATCCCCTACGACCAATTAGTCCATATAACTCGCTGTTTGCCAAAGGGCACTTACAAGATAGCAGAGACGAGACCCAGTACAGGTGCACCGGCTTGTGAAAGAGGCAGCCCCCAGTACGTGTAGTCTGACGGGAACACCCTCTCCACTGCGAGGAAGGATACTAGACTGCCGAGGAGCACTGACGCTGTGAGTGTCCGGAGCACGACTGCGGGGCCGGTCCAGGGTCTGTCGTGGTGAACTATAGACCACATGCCAAGGCCGACATCACAGGTCAGAGCTGCGATGAGGACAAACGCCTTGATGCTACAAATATCAGTCAGTCTTTGGCTCTTGTATGGTATCCAGAGATGTGGCGCCTACCCATGGCTGGAAACTGCAGCTCCAGAATACGAAATAAGAAAGATGGCCAGCATCAAAATGACAAGTAGACATGAGATAATCTGCATAAAATCCACTGCGACCCTGACGGCTCTGATACCAGCGCCTGTCGGCTCCTCGACTTCTTCGGGTAGAGGGGTAAGTAGAGGGGTAAGCTCCCTTGCAATTGGGGTAGTTGACAGCCGCGGCAGAGATCTCGGCCTCGTGACAATGCTGAGGTTCAGAGGCGGTGGTCGAGTGCCCTTACGCATATCGTCGGTTTCTTCGGCGAGGAATGGTGTGAGAATGCTGATGCCAGTTGCTGATGTGAATGTTGAGTAGGAATCCCTGCCCCTTGCGTCGATGAACTTGTTAAGCATGAAGAAGTAAAATGAGGTCAACCAGGTATAACGAATGAATGAGATGGCGATTTAATCGGAGGCCTCGATGGTGTTGGTATTTGTAGTGAGAGAGAAAGAGAAAAGGGACATAAAGAATGAATACTAAAACAGTCAAAAACGAAAGAATAAAATGAATTGATCAAGAAGAGGTAACGAAAGACCGAAAACAATGAGGAACAACCGAAATAATAAAAGAAGGAAGAAAAAGAACGAATTCAATCGATGCTTTCTTGTCTTGTCTCGATCTCTCCCTTTGGCGCGCGCCAGTTCCCATTCCAATCCACAGGCCAGCCAGCGCAAGGGGTTTTTTTCTTCCTCGTATCGTATCAATCTTCCGCCTGAAGGCCTAAACGCGGGCCTAAGATGCGTTCATCTGCAGGGGCACGTCGCACCACAGCCACTGTTTTCTGCGGCGGTTGGACGGTGGCCAACTGAAAACAGTGGAACGCCCTTCTAATTTTGGTGTATACCGCCGGCTCTCTCGGTATCGAATGATGGCATTTCTTTCTTGGCGAGACGTGATTGGGTTCCGCGCTTGTTTCATGTCGATTGATATCGATTCTTTTGGCGATTGAAGACATGGGTTTTCTACTGCTTTGGGCTGCCTCCTTGCTTAGATGCTACCACATGCTACAGCCGATGCAGCCTCTGACCTTCGCTACGCCGCAGGGGTCGAGCGTTATCGCCATCTTGCATCATTCTTCAAGGGTCACCGTGTTCATGCCATGACTTATCTATCTATCCATCACCCTCTGCTTTGATCTCCAATTCCGATTACCTCAGCTCAGACTTGCCTTTACGACTTCAATGACATGATCCATGCATAAAAACACGCCGAAAAGAGGGTTAGCAGTCGATAAACTGCAAACACACAACTCCCAGTCCGTGTTTTTGGCCCATGGCTGCATATGTCTCAGAAGTATCTGAAGAATCATCACTGCCGAGTTGTTCCCGTCGTATCCAAGTCACTCGACTCAGATCTCATGCTGAAAGCACTGTCGTCCCTTTGACCTTTCCACTCTCCATCTTGGCGGTTCTGGCCCCAAATTGTATCTATCATGGCTCATTAGTAAAGACTTGTCAGAACCAGGTTGCCACTTACAGCTCGCTTCTTCTCCTTTGAAACTGAGCTCATGCCAAGTGATTGAGCCACAAGCCGCAACACTCGTTTCTCGGCGTCGAGGTTCCCTTGGCCACCAGGTGTTTCGAAATCACACTTCTCCCACACAGGAGACTCGATTGCCCACTTGACAAAACGCTCATCCAGATAGGGGAATCTCACTTCTCGACCCCAGTGTGCCATAACACGGTCATCTCGGCCAAGATTTCTCTTTCCAAGCCGACTGACGTCGAGCTTCAGCTCTTGTACAACTCCGCCGTAGCCACGATGCGTGTAAGCCACGCCGTGCCGACCATATCCACCAAACAGCTCATCAGCACCCAGACCGGACAGCAATACTCGCGCTGTCGTGCTATACGGCTGCGGATTTGATCCGCCGGTTGTCTCGCCAAGCCCTTGTCCTCTTGCAGCAAAATATAAAGCACACGCAATGGACAGATCCATCTCTGTGTTGTGAGGATAGATGAGACGAATGATTTCAGCTCTGTGCTCTAGATTCTCAGCATACGGCACATTTACCTGCCTCCTGTCAGCCATCCATTCCCAAGTGAGACCAGGTCCACATACCGCCACGAACCGCCATGCTCTGCCAGGACAGACACGACCAAGCTCTGCAAACGCATTTCTCCCCGTCATTCGATCCGGACACTTCTCATAAAGCTCCTCTCGGGAGAGGTCCTTAAATTGCCCTGCAATTCTGGGGTTCTCAAACGCGACGTTGATCAGGTCAATACATTGATCCGCAGGAATTATGTCATGAGACAGCCTCGCAAGCACAGTACAATCAAGGCCACCTGAAAATAGCACTGCGACTCTCGCATCCGTAGGTTTGGCTTTTGGGGGTAGTGGCACCTCTAGAACTCGCAGTCGAAGAGACTCGATCAAGCGAGAACGCAGCTCTTGCACAGATCTTGAATCTTGTCCGAGGGCAAAACTCTCCTGTGGCAGATCCTCGTTGAAACTACCGATGCTCGATATCTGAGGACGTAAGTAGCAGGCTTGTCGGGGTCATACTCACGTTGAACTTACCAGAGTAGTATCGGCAGTCCAATCATGCCGGTCTGGCACTAATCCTTCAGGCGAATCACTCTTGGAGAGATTCAGAGTATAGCATCCATCGGCCTCAACCTCGGTCCATCCATCCACCGGCGTCTCAGCGATACTTGACAGAACAAATGGAGAGTCATCTTTGACTAGCAACGATCGGCGGCCTAGTCGATCTCGTCCGTAGTAAAGCCGCTTGGCAGGTTTATCCAGGTAAATAAACGCGAAAGGCCCTTCGATGGCCCGTAAGATGCCCAGAACATCTCCTGCACCACGACTTGCCTCGGCCAGGAGGGCAAGAATAGCCTCACCATCGTTACCCTGTACAGAATCTCCTTGAATACCCCAGGCCTCTCCATTCCAGCATAGAATAGACTCAGTCACATGATCCACAAGTGGCTGCTTTGCAACGTGATCACCTCGCAGTGATAACACGGTTGATGTGAAAGTCAGGAAAAGATCATCAAGCTGTATCCTAACAGTTCCTGTATGATCTGGTCCTCTATTTACCAAACATCGCTCTGACACGGATGAGAGTGTTTGTTCGGGGCTTGAGGATATAATAGCATGGATTCCGCACATTTTTGAGCGTTGTTGTAAGGGCGAAGACGCGGTTGGAAGATTCGGAAGCTGTTGGTGCAGTTGAAATTGATTAGTTACTACAAGCGAAATACCACAGATCCACCCCAGAGCAAATATACCCTATACCCGAACGTGACAAAGCTGCTGCCCAAAGCTTGAGTCGCTAATATGGAATTATTTTCAGGAACAATGATAAAGCATTACCCGTTGGTGCGAGCCCGCGGGGGAGACCAACGGGTACGCTTAAAGTTTGAGCTTGCACAAATAGATATTGTGTGAGTCATTTATGGTAGCCAGTCTCAAAAGTCTATTGCAAAAAGCACCGGAGACTAACATAACCAGATGACTAAACCTCAACTCCTTTGTAGCCTGGAGAGTCACTGTCTGGCATTCTTAAGAGGCTCTTAGCTATAGAATAGCATCTTGTAGTCACTCTGAGAGAAAAGCTTACGCTTGACATGGGCGTGTATTTCTATCCTAAACAACAGGAAAGAGAGGCGATCTCTATACCAGCTAAAACCAATTCTTTGCCGAATCGAAATGCACTGCGAAGGGGTGATGTGACATGGCGTTTCACTCAAGTGCCCAATCTGACTACTACTAATATCCTCCGAGGAAAACCCAAAAACCATTGGTCCTGAGCCCCAAAGGCCCATTCCTCCATTCAAATCTCAACCTGAGGCAAATCACAAGCTCAAGGAGTTACAAGAAAGCTGAAATACATGAATAAGCCCAATCCCGCGCTGGGTGGCATAAGAAAGTGTCGTGTCTCATCAAACCAAAAAAAGGCTGTTTGGCAATTTGGTTGGGGATCATTATACAATTTTGAGGTACGTGTCCCTTACCTAATACTCGGGAAGTTCCACGGCAGAAGACTGGATCCCTATTCTCCGAGGTTCTGCTGCAAATCAACGTTTGACCAGTCCATCATCTGAAAGATGTCCTGGGAATTCTGGGAGAAGCCCAGGTTGGCGCTGGGGATTTCACCAAACAGCGACTGGTATTCATTGGTCTTGGTCATACCATTGCCATTGTCATTAGGGAAGAGCGGAAAGTCCATGCCGTCTCCTGCAAAGGAGTCGTCAAAACCTTCATCAACATCCCGTAATGAGTTTGGAGTGTAAAGCATGGCTGTCTCCTGGCCAGTTGGCGAAAAGTGAGGAGCAACAGTCGGGATGGGAATCTGCTGCTGGGGTTGCTGATACATAGGCAACTGCTGTTGCATCATCTTGAGGTTGGAGTTATACATGACAGGCTGCTCAGGTGTGGGCAGCTGAGCAGGAAGCTGCATATGAGCAGCATAGAGGTCCTCGTTATCGATGATGAAGGCCGAGCCATTCTGGTATGGGGCATACTGCTCGTAGGAACTAGCCGAAGCAGGCGAGGTGGAATCCATACCCAGATCCAGGTGAAGTGTCTCGGAGGGAATGTTGTTGATTGACATCCAGTCCGAGTCATTAGGGTAGAGAGGGAAGTCGCCAACGAATTGTGTCACGTCGTTCTGAGGTGGAGTGGGCACACCGTTGTATTCGGTAGAAGAAGGCGTTGACATGTTACCCAGAGGTGGAGTTTGTTGCTGAACGCTGCCAGCAACTGATGGCAGCTTCTTTCCGTTGGTCTTGGTTCGAACGTAGGTCCAGCCATGGGCTTTCTCCATGTGCTGCTTGCAGTTGGATTCACGTTTCGACTTATAAGGGCAAGGCTTGAACATGCACTCATACATGGCAGGAGCAGCAGAGTGCTTGTCGTTGTGGTGGCGGTCCATTTCCTTCTCAGTGGGCCATCCATAGGTGTGATACTTGCAAGTTGGGACAGGGCACTTCCAAGGGCGAGAGTGAGTCTTTTCGTGCTTGGTGAGATCGCAAGGACGCTTGAACTCTTTGTTGCAGCCGGGCTCGCGGCACTTCTTGGGAGCTAGCTCCTCGGGTGAAGCATTCTTCTTGCGGCGAGCCATGGATCGTTGAATCTCCTCCTCGTCCTCGAGCTGCTGACTCAGGGATCGCTTTACTTGCATTGGCGAGTCGCTGTCAACCTCGACAGGCTTACCAGTGTCCAGAGAGATATACGTGCCGTCCTTGCGGACACGAACGAGCTCGACGGGGCGACCTTCGTGGAGACCACCGATGAGTTTGATCTCGTCGGATCTTCGGCGAGAGTTAGTTGGATAGTCCAAGGGAACAAAGCTGGGTACATACGCGTCGATATCCATATCGTCACCGCTGTTCTTTGCGGCAAGTTGTTTTCCGTATTGTAGAATCTGGTCCTTCAGGTCGAGGAAGTATCCGTTAGTGTAAGGCCGGTCAGCAGGTCGAATTTGTTCGCGGTCGCTGAGATATTCGACGGTCGCTTGAATGCATTGGACGGACGTAAGGCAGAAATCCAGGTACAAAGTTGCTGACTTGGTCTTCTCCTTCAAACACAAATTGCGATAAGTATTTTCCCAAACGCCAAAACCAGTCAGAAGCTGACTTACCGGTGCCATAAAGATCAATGTTTTCTCAAGATCTCGCAAGCAAATAATTTCCTTTGATCGAATTCGTCGCGGGATGTCAAGAACAATGGGCTCAAACTCCTTGAGAGTCGGCTTTGCCAACAAAGGGCGCAAAGTGTGCTCGTGGATGCGGTTAATAGCCTTGGGCCCCAGAGAGGGAAGCTTTTCCGATGCTGCGGCAACGGATCTTGTGATGGCGGATCGTGTTTGCGCCTTTGTCTCCTTCTTTGCCGAAGTGACTGCACCCCGCTTCTCGTTTGTGGAAGCCACCGATGTACCCAAACCGCTATCAGACTCATGGTGCCGTGAATGGCGAACAGAGCGAGGGCGCAGAACGCGCCTCTCCTCTTCTTTTGTCATCTTGGGGTCGACGATAGGTCCCTCGAGGAAGCCGCGAGGGATGGGGAGACTGGTGTCTCGAAGTGTCTTGATACTAGACTTTGGCGACAGTGAGAGCTGATCCAAGGATAGAGCCTCATCGATGTCGTTCAGAGCCAGGGCCACACGTCGACGGTTGGCATCGACGACATCATCCAAGTGAGACTGAGCCCGAGGCAGCGTGGGAGGGACAAATGTGTTGTCTAGAGCCGAAGATGATGAAGTAGGAGAGTGAAATGTCGCACCCTTACGGAGGGTAGAGCTGTTCTTAAGGGACAGGGCATTGTCGGTGTCGCAGTCCGGGCGAGTCACCGGAGTCCTTCGACGAGGGTGGGAGAAGGACATGGCTTGGATTCAAGGTGGGTATGAGATAAAAGAGACAGTCGACCGATGGCCACAGAAGTCCTGAAGCTAAGCCGGGGAGTCCCGTTAGTTCAAGAGCGCGACCTTTGATGCAAGCAAGTGCTTGGTAGTGAAGGACGGGGAAGTGAGTCACAGTCGAGATTCTTGAATCCCACACCCAGGACACAAAGGCCTAGACGTTGATCAAGGCCAGATTGGGACACGGGGTGATTGACCAATACAACGAGTTGCAAGTGATACCGGGAAAGGTAAAAAATAAGACGAAGTCCAAGTAAAAAGACGAGACTGAGATGTCAAGACGATATAAAATGTGAACCGTACCAGATCAGAGACCGAAGATGTATGCGGATGATCAGCCTTGATGTCGAGGAACCAATGCGGTGGAGGTGGCGCAAGATGATAGAACGACAGGGAAGGCGAGGGATGAACTGAATAATATATTGCTCAGGCGGTAAGACGACTCGGCGAGACTCGAAGAGAGTTGCTAAGCGAGACGAGACGTCGAGTGACAAACGCGTGAGATGTTGATGAATGAAACAGGACGCAGCGTTGAATGTTGGCGATGCGAAAGGCGGGTGGAACTGGAGGAAGGAAGAGGACGGGCGGAAAAGGGTATATGAGGGTTGACCGAAAGGGTGTACAATTTCGGGACCCACAGGGTGTGAGGAATCTAGAGTTCTAAACGGAGAGAAGCTGAAGCTGGCGGCGGCCTCAGGATAACGAGGAAAATGGTGAGGTGAGAGTGGGATTGAGAGAGAGGTTTGGACTTTGGAGAGGAAGAGGGCGAAATGGGAAGTGTCTACGGACGAGCGAGGTTATGCTTAGAAACCGAGTCGAAATGGGCTCCGCAATCTCTCAGCCCATGGCCACTGTTGCCTAAAATCCCTGGACGCTAAATCCTCTTCCAGCATGGTACGGGCTGAGGCGCAGGATCCCCCCTGCGCAAGGTTCAGTGTGATAGGGCCCAACCCGAGGCAGTACTCCAGTCACTAACAGAGTTGAAAGTCTAACTCCTTTTGACTTTCCAATTCCTGAGCATCTGACACCAAGACTCACCTCAATCCCCCCGCAGAGCCTCAAACGTCTCAGACTCGGAGTTACGACTTGGAGTACCTCGACTATGACAAGCGACCTTCTCTGTATCCCCACAAACTCCGCCAGATCCGACCGCTCCTCTCCCGCACCCCTAGAACCTTTGTGGTTCACTGCGCATCATCCAGTTCTGTCCGTCCATCTCGAGAGGCGCATGAGGCAGAAGAATTTCCAAGCTTGTCATTGATCTGAGGGAGAGGCCAAGGAGCAGTTGACGATGAACTTGGGGGCCAGAAATGGTACCATTGCGTATCTACTGTCGTGGCCCTCTGTTTCTCCGCGAAATGACGGTGTTTGTTTTCATTTCGGTTTCAAATAAGCTCGCGTTTTAGATGAAACCAATTCTAATCTTGGGGGGTCACGATCACAAACCAAACGCAAGGAGAGAAGAGGAAATGGTGTTGTCTACGGAGTACGAATTGTGCTAATAATTCACTTACAAATGACGTCGGACCGTGGTGGTTTGGCAACCATTGTCACTGTTGTGAACCTATGGAAAACGCCTTGCGGAGAGTCTGCAGGGATCGACACCGGGCGCATCTTTTGGGTGGTCCGTGACCGTTGGCTGTCAGCAACAGATATCCGTAGAGTGACTGGGTTTAGCAGTCCGGAAAGAACTCGGAATTTTTCTGGTATGGACATCAAGATCAATAGATAGTATTTCGAGTGTTTGAGAATGAAGATCGTATAGATTATGGAGAATTGTCCTTTCAGAAACCGAGATGTCTTCTATTATGCTTGCGGTCTGACTACACGCCCTCGTTTGGTGTTCAGTCAATGCCTGCCTCTTTTCCGAATGATCCTCGTGTGGCCATTCTGACATCCTACGGATACTCATCTGGCAGTCTGGTAGCTCATTGGCGTTGACCACGCTAATGTGGCATAAACTAGTCGCTATTCTATTCGTCGGTGGTCTCTGATTGACGAGACGCATTGGTGTTGCAGTCGATGCATTGCATTTCCACCCTCCACCTCAGCCCTCTTTGACGGCTGTGCCTTGCAATCGATGGCGATGCGCAGCCTCTCTGCATATTTTATGTGCCATTGGTTTTATATGGACTTTGGGTATCTTGAACGGTTTTGATCAACCGTGCCGGGATGTGCTGTAACTCATTAGGAGGGAGACTCACCGAAACATGCATTGTTGTTGCTAGGCCTTTGAGCAGATGAATATTGGTGCTTGAAACAGGACATGATCGACTGACAACCTCCATCGAAGAGAGACACGACGACTCACACGCGTTATCATCATCACCGAGACCTCATCTTGGCTGCATCTAGATCGAACACAAGACACACCAACCTCTAGATATTCTCCTTCAACTGGTTCCTGTGCCTGTTCCTGTCTCCAAGGACTCTCCACCGCCAACGCCTCCTTTCCCGTAGCATCGGCCCACAGCCAATGGACCGATAGTGCATTTACTCCACGCATAGGGCTGCTGCTCTCCGCAGGGGTTGGTCGAAACAAAGGTCATGTCACCCGTCCGTTGACTCAATGGCCGGCGATTTCCCTTTTTGATTACGAGCGTGGACCCCCATCTTTTCTCCAAGCTGTTGCATTGCATTTCATCGCACTGCTAGCCTTTTCAGAGCTTCTGCCCTGACTGAAGCATGCGTCCCAGATTGAGGCCGCATGTCCTAGATTTACCGGCCGGAATCCGTAGCCGCCACCAGAATGATTCTCATCAATCGCTCAAGACGAGTCGAGTCATCGCTGACGCCCGCTCTATGAATCTGCGTCAGTAATCACGCGATTGTAGATTCTCGCGCCCTTGGCATATCTTTTTGAGGATAGCACGAATGCACGAGAGTCCTTTTGCAACAGTATGAAGGCATCGTAATCAACCTAGGGATCTTCTTGTCACCGAATTCCTGCTTACAACCAATCAAGATACACGTACACGTACGCAAATATGCATACGCCTTTTCAATAAGGTAGAAACAACCACCAAATACGTAAATATACACGCAAGCCAGCTGTTTCATTCCGGCCCTAGTTGCAATTTGTTCATTTATTCCAAGAACTTTTTGTCTTGTACGATGTTATCAAGTCCTATACTAACTGCCATTTTTAAACACGTCCCTGCCATAAGCCAATCAGAGTCAATTTTATCAAGCAGCCTACCTTAGTACCAAAGACCCTCTTGTGTCCGGACAGGGACAAATCTGGATGCCTCGAGTGGTGAACCCCATTCTCAAGGCATCCGTATTCTGGTTCGCAGGGGATACGTATGCATTTGCGCCGTTTCTGGGAACCAGCCAGTAGTGGAATACCTTTTTGACATGAACATGAAATCGTGTGACCCCTGTATGATTGTTGACGATACTACTAGTCTCGGGGTCTAATGGCGTGAACCAGAATAACTTCTTGACAAGCTTAACAGGGGAGCTCGTGATCAAGGCACCCATGGATTGGGACTTTTGATTCGACATTGACATACTCCGTACTCTGATCCTAATAGGTAGATCCATGCTTTGATTACAAGATCCTGGTGGTGATCAGTATCAACACAATCTAGATCTTCTTTTCCTGGTATGGGTCTCCTAGCGTTGTCTACTTGTGGCCCCAGACTCCGAGACTCATTTAGGATGTTCCTATTTTCGACATAACGAGCTGAATATCTTAGAGGCATGTGATATCAGTAAAACGATAGAAGTTCTGCAAGGAAAGCCCTGAAACCTTAGGTGTACAATCTTTATCAAGATATGAGCGGGACAACTTGTCCAGTACTAACTTAAATCATTTCTTACAGCACAATCACATCAATACTACGTTTAATACAATAAAAATAAAAGGACGAAACAGGATATCGAGTTCTCATAACTACAAAGATATTGAAATCTCATAATTCGGATGGTTCACTTGAACCTATGTCTATTCCTAATTCCCAGTGTCAAAGCTAACGCCAGGTGACGATCTCAAGGTAGTAATACAATCTTATACCCAACCCGCATACTCATCATGAGACGGTATCTCCATATAGGGAGCGTTCCTCTCATCCTCGGTGAGAGGAGAAACGGTGTAGGACCGATCAATACGATCCCGTACACTGCCAACTCTTCTGGGATTATTGCGTGTGGTCCTAGATTTGCGAGGCTCATGGGTCTTATATTGTCCCACGGGTGGGAGAGGAACACCCTTGTCCACGATTACTTTGTTTCCTACCTGCTGACCGCGAGCGCCACGTTGGCGCTTGGAGGAGTTTGCTCGCGGATCATTGGATTGTCTCCGTGGCTGTAGATTTGTCAGCTCTATTCCTTGAGACGAAGAACCTACCTGTCTTGCACCTTGCATTGGTGCCGGAGAGCAGTTCGGTGCGTATGCACCTGGGGGACTGATATATACCCAATCCGAAGGGCTCTGTTGGGAAGCCATACTCATACGAGGCTCCTGTCTATATGCCCCTGGTTGGTGGGCTCTTTCGGGCACCCTCAACTCCCGATGACCTCCGCTTGGCTGTGGTGTTTGTACTTGTCCCGTCCCATGGGAGGCTCCAGCACCATGGGTTTGCAGAGCAGTGAACCCCCCATAATCCCTCCTTTCTCTTTTCTTTTTCGATGCCTCACAGTTCGAGCACGACCCTAGTCGAACTTGCCGACTCTGGGTCTTGCCATGAATTCTTCGAAAGGGGAATACCCCAGGGAATGACAAACAGGGGCAATACGCCTCCCAACTATCTTGCCAACATGTATATGTGCGGACATGCCTGTGGTGGCCGCACTCCTGGTACTCGTGGTAAATATCTAAACACATTTTGTTAGTATGTGAGGATGGGAAGTTCTTGGTTTGTGATATTGGCGTAGAAATGGTGCTGTTAGTGGTTAAAGGCGTAGTCTCGATGATGGTCTGTGTCTGAAAGGGGAGATTAATGAGATTGTTGTAGAATTATAAGCAGATGGCCACTATTGCTATATATACTCGATCGCTATTGTTTGAAACATGGGGCTGTTTTTCTGTCCTAATGGTGAACAACTGTCCAATGCGTGAGTCAGCTGAACAAGAGACGTTGGTCATATTCTTGTTCAGTGTCATTACAGATATTTAGACGATCATGCGATTGCGACGGAGACATGAATATGTAATGTTCTGTGTTCATACCAATGAACAGATCCGAGGTCAACGTACATCTAGATTCCCGCCTCTAATTTATTGAATAGATAGAACAGTTCTCCTCTCCGGCAAAATACTTAGGTATAATAAGAACGCCGTCAACATTCATTCTCTTTGCCCAAGACCTTTCTCTTCAATACCCTGGCCAAACCACTCCAACAAAATGCCTTTCCATGAACGAACTCGGGATTCCTCCGTCGCTGGTCGACAGCAAGATCAATGCCCACAAGTCCGAGGAGGATGGGAAAAACTCATATCGTATCTCATTTGGCCACACTGGTTTATAACAAGGCTTGTTCGTTGGTTATTTGGAGCATCATCACCTGATCACCCTATCCCTGAGAGCAGATCAACCTGGGGAACATGGGCTTTTTCGATGAGAAATCTTCCCAGTGAAGCTCCAATTGCGCGAATACCACTTCATCCAACCCGCTACCACTTGGCCGGATTGCGTGATCAGGATATGGCCCGCGAGTCTCATGGCCAGCCTCACAGTCCCCCAACAGCAAGGAGCCTCGACTTCTCAAGTCTGGGATATGTTGAGAACGGGTATTTAATCCCACCCACAAGCCGCCTTGACAACAACGTTCCTACCCCCTCTAGTAGTCATGGTTCAAGCACCTCGGCTCCAAGTCAAGATAAGGCTACCCCCCTTACTGCAGAAACCGTTCGCTGGCCCTTCCTATCCTCACCTTCTGAAGACGGTGAGGAATCAGACGAAGAATCAGGCATCGAGATGGAAGCTGTGACCCCAATAGCTAAGCTGCCCGGATCTCTTTTGCCATCTTCTGAGCCCAGTGATAATTCAGAACAAGAATTTCATGGGAGAATAGGAACTGCGGCCTCACCGGCTAGGGTTTTTATAAACCGTCGCAGAGACCTTCCGATCACAGCTGGCGGCTTCTGTGAAGCTTTGCAGCTTCGTACATCAGTTGCTAGCGGCTTCTCTGCAGAGAACTTCTCTTCAGACCCTGAGAGTTCCTTGAACGCCTCATCTCCAGCAATTGATGTTGCATCTACAATCGAGACCACCGAAGACCGGAATGAGGGTGAAGATGAGGAAGACGAAGACCAGAAGAAAGAGATAAGGTCTACCGCTGTGCGTTCGGTACAACTGTCTCTAGTTGGTCGACCAACTTTGATCCACCTACCTGCTCGACCGCAAGTTAGCCCAGGACACCGAGTTCCAGGTTCTCCCCAGTCCGATTCGTAAAGTGATTGAAAGATGTGCCTGGTCGAGTTGATCGCAGTAAAAGGGATGATGGGAAGGAATTGACTTGAGATAGAGTAGGATTGATCCCAAATGCGAGTGTTAGGAGAAAAGTCGATGTCTGTTTGACCCGGCATCCAGATACGGAAGATAGTATGTCGGAACCATGCTGTATAATATCATTGGGCGTTTCTTTAAGATGGGAGTGTCTTTCTGCACGCCCTGGAACTCTTCGCACTTAGAATAGACAATCTTTCAGTTTGACAATATGGGTATCTTACCACCAATTCCTGTCCTTCTCGCTACCGAATATCTAAACATGTGCCCAACCTCGTTCAACAAGAACCTGCATCTCGTTAATCAGGCAAAACTCGCCCGGTTCTCTCCCCCCTAATTTCTCCCACTCCGCAACACGTCCCCTGACCACCCATGCGTCAAACGGTGATGATACCCATCGCATTATGCGGTTGATCCAGAGACCGGCGAAGATCTGCCATGTTGACACCCATGCGCCTTGTTCGGGATGCACGGCTTGGTATGCGCGTAGGTTATAGCCCACGCGGACATGAGGATTGAGGTATACACCTCTGGTTTTGGAGAGGGGGTTGTCGGCGTGGATAAGGCAGCATTCACAGCCTTCGAGGTGGTGTTCAGCTAAAGAGTCCGGAATACCCCGGAAACGCAGCTTCGACGATGAAGTAAAGGGCTCTACGGGCATGGCGACTGGCGAGACAGTCAGTGAGGAAGCGCCCGTCTTTAAGCGTAGGAAAACAAACCAATTCCATTCCAGCAGCTTGCAACAGGCACAGCATCCAAGTGATTAACAAGAGCATTCCTCGAAACACTGCTCTTGAAATACGGCCAGGTAGGCATCGCATGCGCCTGTCCATTTGTATCCCTCAGTGCAAATGTATCATAGTACTGTGGCGGTTTCGAGAAATCAAGCGAGCAAGCTGCAGCGTAGTCACCGCCGTTCGTGCCGAGGAGCTTGAGCACATCGTCTGTCTACAAACTTTGTGAGATGCTGACCATCCTACCATAGTAGTTGACGTACCGTGAAGACGACATCGTTGAGAAAGAGAACCTTGTCGAAATGCTGTCCTTTCTTGGATAGGTCTATCAAGTCCTGTAACGTCCTGTTTCTCAGCTTTGCGAGAAACGGTATCCGTCTCAACTCGCGCTTCCCCCTAGGTGTGTCGATCCAGCCTTCTCCCTTATTTGGATTCTCAATCTCATCTTTATGCGTGACATCCGACATCTCCACACGATGGGGAACTCCTAGTCTCTCGAGCTCCTGATCCATGTGATGCAGCTCCCTTTTAGTATTGTCCCAGCTCCCGCTCTCAAACACACTAACAAAGACATTCTCTCGCCCGAAAAGCTTTGCAAGTTCTATCACCGCAGGACCCCAGTGATCCCTGATTACGCGCTCGTTGTTGAAGTGCATGCTTGCGATATAGATGCGCCCGGGAGGCTGCGAGAGCTTCGGGGCTGGTGTGCGATCGGCATCGAGGAGGTTCCTATGGATTCGAAGGACATCGAGAACGTTGATTATGACGACGAGGATGAAGACTATCTTGGGAAAGCGTGAGCGTAGGAGGCGACGAAGGTAGAGGCGGTTCGTATGCGAGACCATGTTTCCTTATGCGTGGTTACGAGGACAGCAAAGCATCATAGAGAGTGGAATTAGTAAGGTTGGTGCAGCCTCAGCGCGATTTAGCGGGCAAGAGCATGGGACATCATCCGAGAAGAAAGATCATCGTTGGTTATGATGTTAAATGCACAATTGACATTGGATGCATCCCTTGATTGGCTCATGTCGACTACTTAAGGTACACCTATAGCCACACCCGACAAGCCTGGTCATCCATGTAACTTAAATGGCGGCTACCTACGGAGTAGAGCTAGGTAGCTTAGTGACCGCCTACTATAATGGGGCAGGTTGGCTCTCCCCCCAGCCGGAGCTCGGCGTGCGGCAGAATTCTGGTTCAACGACATGAAATACAACTCATGGCCGAGCATGCCGTCCAAATGTTCAAACAAATATCAGATTGTTTCTCTATTCTTTCAATAGGTTACACATCTTCCTTCACGTATTCTATCATATAGAGAAAAATGAGATTGGTTTTGTCTGGCACTCATGGTCCAACCCCCATCGACCCGGTATATCCCATAACTACCTAATCTTGTCATGATCAGTGCCATGACGCCTTCATTAACTCGACCCAAGTCTCATGGAAAAAATGCCAGTGGTATGTCCACTTGAAATTCGTCGACCCAAGAATCTTCAGACTCAAGTTTGGTCGAATCACCCTATCGCCGTCTATTTGGCAAAGTGAAGGTCATATCCTAGCCACTTCCTTCGGAGAATGGCATCGACGGAGAGACCAGGGTAACCATAGGTGAGAGGCAGGAAGAAGTACCAGCCAGCAATGATCAGAGACAGAATGGCACCACAGGCAATCCAGGCACCGAGCATGCTTTGGCCGGCGAAGCGCTCACGAGCAGTGACATGGTGCCTGGGGCTAACAGGTCCCTTCTTGTCCTTGATAGTGACCTCCTCAGGAGCTTCAGAGTTGAAGATGAACTCAAGAAGAGCGCCAGCAACAAGACAAGAAGCAAGGTGAGCTGGAAGGTAGTGATGCAAGAAAAGTTGTCGTCCCATGAGGAAGAAAGGGAAGTAGTGAGTAGCCCAAGCAAGGAAGAAGAAACCGGTAGAGTTATACAAGCGCGATCGAGTTCCTAAAATTTCGTTATTAAATCAATCCTGAACATGTATTTCGACAAGACTTACGGCGATCGAGAGCGTCAACACCACGGCGCAGAGATACCTGATCAGCGAGAAGAATACCGGCATAAACAGCGAGAAGACTGCTAGCGAGCCACCAGCCAATGGGATTGCCCAAGAAGTAAATCTGTTGGCGAGTCTCACTCTGAGTCCAGAAGCTCACACCACGGAGCAGGAAAGGCCACTGGTAAGGGTGGCTAGCATAAGGGTGGCTGCTGGTAAGCTTGCTGTTATGGTAGAACATGGCGCGCTGGAGCTCGAACCACTTCTGGAGGAAGGGCAGAGACTTGACCTTGCGCTCAGGCTTCTGGCGACGAGGATGATCAGCAGGTAGAGAAGGAATGTCCTCGGCGATCCAGACGTTGGAGCTGGGCGCAATCTGCTTGTTACCGTTGATCTCCTGCTGCTTGTAACCCCATTCAGGGAGAGGCTTAGTGTGAGTCCACATGGCAACCTTGCTGGGGTTGTGAATAAGCTTGAAGTGGCCAGCGACAGTCTTGAAGTTCTGGTTCTTCTTGCCGTGCTCGATTCGGACCTCGAAAAGCGTGTCCTTCTCACGCTTGCCAAAAGCCTCCTCGGGAGTAACAGCAGTGAATTCCTGGTTGGTGGGGTAGTAAGGAGAAGCGACATCGTGGGAGAGTAGAATCTTGTCGGTTCCGACGTGACGAAGGCGAACCAGTTCGTGGTTCTTGACAATGCGGCCCATCTGCTTATCGTTATTGGCGGGCAGGATCTCCCAGTAGTTGTTGGTGTCGTTGTAAGGGTAACCAGTAATCTGCTGGCCCTGGGACGAAACACGGCCATCATCGTATCGGAGAGGGTAACGGTCCTCGTGACTGTGAAGGTACGTCTTGGTCTCCTTGTGCCGAATTGTGATCTGGTCATAGTACTGAATGTCGATGGAATTGGCCAGCATAACGTTGTCGCTCAGGGTCTCCTGGAATTCAGGAGTCATGAAATCATCACCAGGACCGGATCGGTAGAGAACCGCGAAGTGAACCTGGAACCAGAAGAGGTAGAACAAGAAAGGCATGATGATCAGACCAAAAGCCCGAGCGGCAAAGTGCTTGGTAAATTCCTGCAGGCTGATGGCACCGCCAGGTCGGTTAATGTTGAGGAGGTCCCAGAGGTCGATGACAACGGCAGAGCCGATGGTAACGAAGGCAAATACACCAACGTACTTGACCGAGATATCGCAAGACAGAGCGAATCCGGTGAGGATGAGCCACTTCCACCACTTTCGGGAGAAAGGCTCATGTCGGAGCTTGTACCACTTGATGTAGAAGAGGAGACTGCAGGCCATGGCGAGGACCAAAGTCGCATCTAGGAGGATGAGTCGGGTCTGGCCGATGTGGGCATTATCGAGGAGGACAAGACCAGCGGCGAGGATGCAAGCGGGAAGACTGTAGCCAGATTCCCACATGATGAGATATGTGACCGAGACAGTCAAAGCACCAAGAGTAGCGGGGAGAGCTCGGTACGCGACATAAGGAACTTTATTCGCAATGTAGGAGTCGCCGATGTTCTCGAAGTGGAAGTTACCATCGTAGCCAACGAGCCAGCCGACAAAGGCGAACAGAAGCTTGCCGAAGGGAGGGTGGACGTCGAAAAAGTAGGTTCGCTCGAGGTAGTATGAGGCGAACTATCAAGCAATGGTTAGCTATAGCATCGAATGTTAGGGAATCCAGTCGTGCTTGCTTACCTTTCCAAAGTGCACCTCGTCAAAGACAACCTCGTTTGGATGGCTGATACCCCAGAATCGAGTAACGAAGGACAAGATAGTGATGAGGAAAAGGCCAATCTTGTACTCGGTCTCGCTCTGGGCAGCGGCTCGCTGAGCGCCAGCCTTGGCAAGCTTATCAAGCTCGATATTAGGATCGAAAGAGTCTTCTTCGGAGGGCTTCTTTGATGGTGCGCCCCTCTGTCGCAGACTGCCCTGCGGCGTGGAGCTTCGAGCCATGATTGAAGATGGCTATAAGCTACAGATGCGACAATCAGTTAAAGGCCTTGTCGACGTATATATAAGGAAAGAAAGTGATATGAAGTATGCAGAGAAACAACCACGTCTCACAAACGATTCAGAGGAACCGTAGGTCTCAGGCTTACCTCAGGGGTCAGATAGCAGTGCCCTGGTTACACCAAGCGATTTGTAGAAGAGAAGAGGAAATAGGTGAACAAAGGAGCGATAGAAGAGCAAGTAGAGGTAGCTACTAGAAGCAATTACCGCCTCAGTAGAGAAGTTTCACAAAAAATAAAAAGAAAGGAAAGAAAAGGGGCGATTGATTAAAAAGAGAAACCTCCCTGTGGTCGAAGTTATGGGATCAAGTTGATGCTTCTGGCGTCGAGGACAACCTGGCCAGCTTGCCTTTTTTTACCCCTGTCACTGGAGGAGTCTGGGCTAGATGGGATGGACGCAGGGGTAAAACCCCACTTGTGTTAGCTTTCAGCCACTTGACAGCTGAAGTTGCTAACAGTTTGGATGTTCTCAAGGGGAGTCAATAAGGAGCTACGGGAACCAATTGGGTCACGTCGAGTTCTAGCTTCAGTAAGGTAGGAGAGGGAACCTCGACCAAGCTTTGCTGATAATGCCGGGTTTGGAGATGCTCAGCAACAGGGCTGAAAGCATACCGTGGTCAATTAGATCGTGATTACGAAGTACTGTTTGACCGCCCACCCCGATCTCTAATTGAACACAAATGTTTCGGACATCGTAGATTTTCTACAAGTGGAGTACTAACTTTCTCGTAGATTGTTTGATTGCTCATTGCCGTCGTCGTTGGTCACGCTGAAACTTAAGTTGGTGGTAAAGCACAAAGAGACCAATGAAGCTGCATTGGCAACAAACACCTAACTATTCTTCTTCTGGTATTGAATAGAGCACCAATAGAGACACATTTTGTTCAGAATTGAACTATAAGTCTGTTTGCCCAAGAATTTCTATTGAGCTCCTGAACAAACACTGCGATATATGTAACACATCTAATATTTAGACGCCATGGCTTCATGTCAATAACCAAACAAGAAAGATGGGACAGCACCACGTTGTTCTCTGACTTTACCTCTTTAATGACATACTGCCATGGCTATAATAATAGAGCTCCCAAGAGAAAACCCTCATGTTCAGAGCTCTTCAAAACGTTCCTCTGCCGCCGTCTGCGGAGGGCGCAATGCGGGGCCTCCCGGAGAGTCGCCAGACTTACCACAGGTTAGCCGATCAACGGAGCTCAGCAGCAGTAAATTAACTGATTTTATGTACCTGTAGCAATTGACCAGATACAACCAAGTCCAATCCATTCTCTCAAGGTGCTTTCCATTGGCTAGCTTCGGTTTACCCCTCCGAGTACTCACCGAACCTCCGGAGCTCTCGTTCATAACACGGCAACCAAAGCTTACTTGAACCCCTTGGGAACTAATTCATCAAAACCTCAGCTCTGAGACTCCAACTCGATCATTCTCTTTACTCTAGGTACGTCGGTAATCACAATTGTCATCCTTTTTCTGCCATGTCATTTTCTCCCATTGCGCGCAGAGCTTCACGCTCTATCACCTTTTCCATCCGAACAATTCCCCGCCAGTATATCGTAGCGCCAGCCAAGTTCACACTTTCAACCAGACACCAATCGACAATGTCTTCCGACCAGCAGATCATCTTCACCAAGGACGCCCCTGCGGGTAAGTTATATAGATCCAATCTCTGGTAAACCTTGACTGACAGTATCAAAGCCCTTGGCCCTTACGTATGTTTAGCTACCCCTCACTGACAAGGCCAACACTCATGATATGCCAAACCAGTCTCAAGCCATCAAGACCCCCAACATGATCTATTGCTCTGGCCAGATTCCTCTTACCCCCGAGGGTGAGATGGTTCAAGGTATCACTGAGCAGACCCGCCAGGCCTGCAAGAATGTCCAGGCTGTTGTGGAGGCGGCTGGCTCGTCTATTTCCAAGGTGGTCAAGACTACAGTCTTCATCTCTGACATGTCCTACTTTGCTGTCAGTGCCCCAGCAAGTCCAATGATCCATTCATTTACTGACGGCTTCTAGGAAATCAACACCGAGTACGAGAAGTGGTTTTCGCACAAGCCTGCCCGCAGCTGTGTGGCTGTCAAGACTCTTCCCAAGAACGTCGATGTGGAGATTGAGGTCATTGCTCTTCCATAGAGCAGAATCTTAGCAAAGCCAAAGCACGCGATAAAATAGAACTTGATATAAACAATCATGAATTACTTGGAAATCGGTGGGAGACGTAGCCCTATTGTCACAAAACCATCAAACAGACAGTGCGTCTCGTAAGGCCTCGTAAATGCCTGAGCTGTTAGATAAGTACCTAGTGAGTTACGATCTACTTTATGAAGCGTAGGGATCAAGAAGTACATCAAGACCTTTCAAAGAGACTTCCTTTTAAGTACACACGGTACATAAAGTACTGCAATGCCCGATATAAATCAAAGACATGCATGTCCGTGGGAGGCATGAAGTTTGTAGACCAGCGGCAAGTTATTATTGGATGTAATCTGCCCGCTTTCTTGCAGCAGTATATTGTTCATTCAAACTATCTAAGTGCTCCATACCACAACCCTACCATCGACGCCGCTTGCTACAATATGTGTCAGTTTACCGTAACTTGTAGGTACGACTTTGTACTTACTGCTGAACTTGGTAATGCGGTCACCCGAGGTCTCGAAAGGCCTGACGGTGCTGATGGTATTTTGATGGATAGTCTTAAGTTGAGTGTCATCCTTGGTCTTGCCCTTGAGGTCCATTTGTCTGAACATGTTCAAAGCAGACTCCTCGCGGTGCTCGCCCAGACCGGGACGGCCCTTCTGCTCAATAGCACCAGCTAGCTGCCAGCCAGCCTCACCACCTTGGAAGCGGAAAGCCTCACAGTCGTAACCAGCAGCAATGATCTCATCTTCGCTGGTCCAGATCAGACTCTTGAAAGGAAGCTGCTGAGTGGAGACGGTGACAACTGCACGGGGAGGCTGCTCAGGGCCGGATGGGTAGACAACAGTGATGCTACTATCATGCGCTGCGAATGCAAGACTGTCTCCGCTTGGAGAGAAAGAGACGGAGTGCACCCATCCAGCCGAGTTGTTCAAGTACTCCCCACAAACGGTGTTGAAAGGGAGTCGCTCGCCCCAGACTCCAGGAGGAGGTCGGGAGTCCATACCTTTGATGAAGGCGGAGAAGACTCTGGCGTGAGCATCAGTGGATCCAGCAGCCAGGAGAATCGAGTTGGGGTGCCACGCAACGCTGGTAATGGTGCTGCGGATGGGCTTCTTCAGGTGCTTGGACACCCACCAGTCGTTCTCCTCTTCGAAGTAGCAGACAGCAATGACGCGATCGCCGGATCCCACGGCGAACTTGTTCTCGGAGGGAGACCATCGGACAAAGGTAGCAGCCCGGCTGATTCGAAGAAGGACCAAGGTAGGCTTATAACCGGTTGGGGATGGCTCCCAGACCAGAGCATTACGATCTGGTTATCATGTAAGGCCCTGCGGACGAGACATTACACAGGGGTAATTCCACGCTGACTAACCTTGAGAGCAAGTGACGATACGTCCGCTGTTTGGGGCAATATCAACACTAGTGACCGTCTTGTCGTGGCCCTTGAGCTCATCTTTTAGCTTGAAGGCATTGCCAACCTTGCCATAGAGCTCGACAGCAGTGTCTCGAGCGACAGCGAGGACGGAGTGGTCGGCCGAGAAGGAGTGATCGGCGATGGGGTGGTGGAAGAGGTGGTGGACTTCGGGGGCGGCCATACTGATTGGTATTCGCGATAGGAGTAGCTCTCTACTATCGCTTTGAAGCTGATTGAGAGAATAGGAGCAAGAAAGGCCGTGTTGAGTTGGGTGCTGACGATGGATGTCTAAGTAGGCGGTAGGCTCCAAGCTGGCGGTGGGGGTGGGGGGTTACGTAGTGCTGAAGCTCCAGCCAGTGGATGGTAGAGTCCTTAGGTTAAGCTTGGGCCACAGCGGCTGTGCTTGTCTTGTAGTGCGAGGCTGGCAATTCTAGGCTCGGCGAAAAATCTCCAATCCATCAACACCGCCGAATATCTATATCTTGGAATCCAATTGCACCCGTAATCAAGACCACAGTCTTGGTACAAGAAGCGCCGGAAAAGCGCTGAACTCGGGATCGCGACACATCGATTAACAATATCGAACCACCGGCGTCTGTTCAACTACCACAATGGCCGCCGTAGCAACCGCGCCTCGTGGTCTTCAGCCAAATTCATCTTTACCAGCCAAGGTCCAACCTATTCCTCCTAATCAAACGTGAGTCCTTCGTTTTCCTGCTCCTTCTCAAGTCGTGCTGACTCTTTAGCCTCTACGTAACGAATCTCCCCTCCTCAAAAATCCAGAAAGCCGACCTGCGAACCGCCCTCTACCTCCTCTTCTCCACATATGGCCCCGTCCTCGATGTTGTCGCTCTTAAGACAATGAAGATGCGCGGCCAGGCCCATATCGTATTTCGGGACGTTCAGTCTGCTACACAAGCTATGCGATCTCTCGAGGGACAGACGTTCCTTGGTCGCGACTTGGTAAGTGAAACCTTTCCGCGATGGTGGTGAAATCAGTCTAACTTGTTCGCTAGAAAATACAATATGCGAAGTCAAAGTCCAACTTTGTGGCTAAACTCGACGGCACTTTCAAGATTCCTAATGCCGCAGGTGCTGCCAACGTCGAGCAGACTGAACTGCAACAGAGCATCTTCAACGCTCCCCCTCCCGGCTCAGCGCCGGCACCGACGCCCGGCTCTGGTCTTCCTGCGAAGCCTGCTGCGACCGCGGATCACGTCATGGAAGACGCCGACACACCAGGTGGCCGAGGACAGAAGCGAACCCGTGACGACGAGGATAGTGATTCGGATGTTGCCATGGAGGAGGACAGTGACGATGATTGATGAACAAGAATGAACCCATCAAGGTCGGCGACATTTCTGAGAGGCGCAATCGATACGCTGCTACATTGCCATTTCCTTCGGGACCCACAGCCCTACGCAACCTCCGACAAGTCCGAGCCATATCATGAGATAGTTGGTCCTGTCGCACTCGAATTTGGAAATTGCGTCTCCCAGCAAGCAGGGGTGGATAAAGAAGGATGGGACGCCCGTGATAGGGTGGTGCTGTGAACAAGACGTTAGTTAGGCCGACCAATCTTGACGATACCCGGAATATTGAAATTGACTTGTGCAAACAGCTCTCCCCAGAAAAACGTACATCGGCCGAAATACCGCCTACATTGCCCAGTGCTCGAAGCCCGCCCTTGTACTGGTCTGGTACAAGGCGGCGAAAGACAGTGTCAATGTTGAATGCTGGCTCATCGGCAGGTAGGTTGCGTAGATTGAACCATAGACATGGCACACGATACGTGGGGTGAAGGTGAATTTCATACTCCACCATTGCAACTTCTGGGCGAGTCCGTTGCCTGATTAGAGCGGCCTGTCGTAATCTGTAAGACAAGGTTCGACATTTGGAAGATATTATATTGAAGATGGGTTACCTCGTCTGCTTCTTCAGCATCTAACATATCCTTGTCCCCACTTATTGGTACATGCGTTTTGTCGTCTGAGAAGGAGAATCCATCCAAATCTAGTGAAAGATCTCCATGATCTAGATCAAGTTCAAGAGGCCGCCTTATTTGGATATATGTTGTGAAACCCCCACCATAGGCGAAGTCTGTGCAAAGAGCATTGCAGAGCCTCAGTTTCCACCGTGCCCGTTGGGGGCCCAAAGACGCTTGACAGTATTGCCTGTCAAGGTGATGGCATGCTTCTGAGAACTCTTCCGCGGTAAGGGAAGGGAAGTTTTCAATACTCATTCCGACTGAAATATTGTGGTCGAGGTCTGGAGAGTTTTAGTATCAGATGTGAAGTTGTGATTGAGTTGGGTATCGTTTCCACGTGCTGTGATTTTAGGTACAAAGGGTCCACGTACCTGAGCTGGTGGTACTTTTATTAGTGCTTCAATCTAGCACAACATGATTGTTTGACATGACTATATTTTGTTGGATGTAACATTCATGTAAGCTTTGATTTGTTAAGGTCCCCTATCTATTTGTTTCCAGGAATTTAGTACCTAAGGTCCAGGCAAGGTGTCAGAGGTTACAGTTGCACTTGATGTCACACAAAAGAACACTTTCATATACCTGGCTAGGTTTCGATCACGATTACTTTGCTCTCTCACTACAACTCATAAACAGTATTGAATCCGACTAATGGCAGCTCATGCGGTGGCACTATTAACTACGCAAGTCTGCTTCTGCCATAAATCCTACAATAGGCACCTAGTGATTCAAGTTGTAACGAATTGGTTTCGCGATATAAAAGGGAAACGGAATTGCTAGGTCCGAGTGCTCGGGCCAGGGCGCTAAACTTGACCGAGAGTTGGTGTCGCAATCGCAAACGACACCTTTTGTATAACCCCTGGTCGCGTGCCGTATAGTAAAAGCTACCCCAAGCTCCTGATTTCGGTTCTGTCTGTATTTCTGTCCTTTATTGACTCTGGTTGTTTCGTCTCAAGCTTGAGACTTTTGTTGCCGCTTTCTTTGTCCACTGCTTGCTTACTTGCGACCTGTACATAATACTTCTTGTCCTGTCTTGCACTGTGAAATCTAGCGTCTTTCCGAGTCATCTGCTCTCACTCTACCTGGCTAGTCTCACTTAGAAATGAAAACACCAAGTCAATGATTCGAGATCCGTTCAACATCCACCGAACCACAAGCACCTTTGGACGCCCGCAATCTCGAAACATTCCTGCGCCGTCGCGGGCTGAGGCCGATGAAGTAGCTATGGCCTTCTCTATGCCCCGAACCGTTCCGTCCTTCGATAGTCGTCAACGAGAGCTTGAGGATCGATTCTGGGGTTCTGGCCAGAAATCCAACAAGTCGGATCGACTACCAATGTACAAAGACAAACCTTATGCGTCGCCTTACGACGATGAGGACAGACCCTTTTGGAAGCGCAAGAAGTGGATGACCATTATTGCCTTTGTTGTTTTGACATTAATATATTGGACTGGATCTTCGAAGAAACCCTCCCCGAAGCGAACGGTAACGACCGATTGGAGCTACACAGGCTTGTCCAAGGATGATAGAAAGGCGAATTGGGATCACAGAAGAGATCGTGTGGTCGAGGCATTCGAGCTGAGCTGGGATGCCTACAAGCGATATGCCTGGGGTATGTTTGGCCGAATATCTGGACGGGATTCAAATTGGCTGACCGAAGATCTCGACAGGATTCGATGAATACCACCCGATCAGCAAGACGGGTGAAAATATGGCACCAAAGGGACTCGGCTGGATCATAATCGACTCTTTGGACACTATGATTCTCATGAACCTTACATCTCGTGTCCAAGACGCTCGTCATTGGATCTCGGACTCCTTGACATGGGATCAGGATCAGGATGTCAACACCTTCGAGACGACGATTCGAATGCTGGGTGGGCTTCTAAGTGCACATTACTTATCCACCGAGTTTCCGGGGCTTGCGCCACTGGCCGAGGATGACGAGGGGGCAGCCGGTGAGGATTTGTACCTCGAGAAAGCTAAAGACTTGGCCGATCGTCTCATGAGCGCATTTGACTCACCATCTGGTATCCCATATGCGAGTGTCAACCTTGCTAAGTTCGAGGGTATCCCCTCACACGCAGACATGGGAGCGTCGTCGACGGCGGAGGCTACAACTCTCCAGCTTGAATTCAAGTACCTCGCGAAGCTCACAGGAGAAAAGGACTTTTGGGACCGTGTGGAAAATGTCATGAAACTTGTCGACAACCAGGGAGCTCAGGACGGCTTGGTCCCCATCTTTATCTATGCAACCTCGGGCGAGTTCAGGGGTGAAAACATTCGTCTGGGAAGCCGCGGCGACTCATACTATGAGTATCTTATCAAGCAATATCTTCAGACGAACAAGCAGGAGCCTATCTACCAAGATATGTGGGACGAGGCGCTTCAAGGCGTTCGCAAGCACCTCGTTACATATACTTCGAACTCCAAGTTCACCATCATCGGAGAGCGACCGAATGGATTAGAGATGCCACTTAGTCCGAAGATGGATCACCTTGTGTGCTTCATGCCCGGTACAATAGCATTAGCGGCCACAGAAGGCCTTACCGAGGCTCAGGCGCGCAAATCGCCGACGTGGTCGAAGAAGAACGAGGACGATATGCAGCTGGCGCGAGAAGTCATGGAGACATGCTGGGGAATGTACAAGTACATGGCAACAGGGCTATCGGCCGAAATCACCTACTTTGAGATTGACAACCCGCCAGCGGCTTACGGTAATCCTCGAAATGGTCCAGTTAATTTCGACCCAAGTCCGGACGCGGAGTGGCGTAAGGACTTTACTGTCAAGTCTGGCGATGTCCACAATCTCCAGCGACCCGAGACAGTCGAGAGTCTGTTTTACATGTGGAGGATCACCAATGACAACCGATACCGGGAATGGGGTTGGGAGATGTTCAAGTCTTTCATGAATCACACAGCTGTGCGAAATGGAGGAGGCTTTACAAGTCTGCGCAATGCCAATGTTGTCCCTCCTAAAGTGCGGGACAACATGGAGAGCTTCTGGCTGGTAAGTGATAAAGATGTAAGCGAGCAGACAGCCAGGATGCTAACATGATCACACAGGCTGAAACACTCAAATACTTTTACCTCCTGTTCTCACCTCCTGATCTCCTACCTCTTGACAAGGTCGTTATCAACACCGAAGGACACCCACTGCCTCGCTTTGACATGGGACAGTTATTCTCTACAGGATGGAAGAGAAAGCCAAGAGACGCCAATGGCAAGATCATCGCTACGGCCGTCAAGGCAGAAAGTCAAGAGAAGGAGGCCGTTATGCAGGACGCCAAGAAGGTAAATTAGAGCAGCTGATACCGTGTTTGCGGTGATTGGATGCTGTGAATAGGTAAGCTTAAGTGATATAGGGTGGCGAAGTTACGTTGAGCGTATGTAGCATTTATTTGATATATCATACTGTTTGAACATGGGCAAAGATTTGAATAGAAGCCCGAAGCCTTGGTACTGAATGTACGGAGGTATTTTCTCGAATATATCTCCCTTCTGGTCAAGACAGATACTCTTTTCGTGGCTTTGCAGCTGCCTTTCCGGTCCAAGCTTCAAGGGAGACAGGGTTGTGACGATTTCGAGAAATATGGTTCGATGGCTTACTTGTACGGGCTTGTGCCTGTCTGTTTGGCGAGCAAGGACGAGGAGGCAGATAGGAAAGGATCCGCTTCCCCGTGTTTTTGTTCTTGGCAATATGATTGTATTTGCGATAGGCCCTGGATCATCGTATCTATGCACCGGGACCCATGAGGGCTAGAACGTGAAGTAGAACGAACGAATTTCCTTTTGTCGGGACCGAGAAGAGGGGAGACGCAGTTGGCCGATGAATGGAAGGGTCCTCGTATCAGGGCTGAAATGAATTGGGAGAGGGAGGGACGGGAGTGTGATAGTCAAACTTAGTGGTGAATGCACCTGCTGGAGATGGTTTAGGTGGGTTGCTTGGGAAGACAGGGGTTGCAGCTGTTGGTTTTGAAGGATTACCTTTAGTAGCTTGTGATTTATTTTCGATACGGCGTTGGGCCATGGTGTGTGTATACTGACCAAAATCTGGTGTTTTGTCCCTCGGAGATCTAAGATGGAATCCACCATTTTCAATACCGAGCAGTGAATCCACATCTTCAATTCTTTACGTATTCTTTCAAGACTGATCGGATGCACAGACAGACAGAACCCGGCAGCATGGTCCAGGCGGTATCTTCAGCGTGCGGGGGGGTCCAGCCAAAAGGCGTTACAGCGTTACAACGACTCACTCTAGACGTCCTAAGGCTCCCCACCTCCACTGCAATAGCGTCACCTCGGTCCCTCTCCACCAATGCCCGTGGTTATTCCTCAACGCTCGGAGCGTTTGACAGCTCGATCTCAGTGGCGTCTTAGTTGACTTTGGATTAGCATTTGCTGTAAGTGGTCAGAAGATGATTTGATCTGATACCAAGGATCCCTTTGCCCATTGGAGAGGGGGGGGAGTGGTTCAACGCCAAGCAACTGTCACCGACTGTACTATATTACTCCCTCTCCTCTGAGTCTAGAATGATAAGCACACCTCCAGCCCCTTCTCACACGACCTTGACGTTATCTACTACCTTGTTTCTCTTTCTGTTGATTTGATTAATTGATTGTTGCGCACATGCAGTCCATCAAACTTGACTGCCCCCATTTTCAGCTCTAAACTTAAACATCGCATGTCAACTTATATAGCAACACATATCCACTCATCGCGACAACTACATCACTGTCCTTTCAAACTCCACTGCCTTCTTGGTGGCGATATGCCGACCGTCTCACTACGCCTATCCTGACGATCGAGATATCAGCAAGCCAATACATCGCCTCAAATACAACCACCTTTTCACACACCTTGAGTCGTTCGCTAAAGCACTGTGACCCTGACGAACCCCACGAACCAGCGTCCTCCGCCGACAAACCGCTTACTCACAACATATACCTCCCACTCACCTCCGACATCCGCATACGCCTACGCTTACAACTCCGACAACAATCCCCAGCGGAGGGCCAGCTCCAGTCATCCCACAGTTCGGGATCGACCAAGCGTGAGCTCGGCCCGCGCACAGCGCGCAGGCTCAAGCGCAAGAATGGCGCCTCACGATGTCGAGCGCGGGAGCATCAGCAAGATGAAGGAGGAGTCGCTCGCCCCCGGGAGTTCTTTTAGCATGCGCGAACCCGAGTACGGTGATATTTCCCCGCCTTCTTATTGGGACCGGTTCGTCGATGGCTTTAGGCGCGATCACAGATCAAGTTTGTTCACGAATGATCCGTTGGGGCAGCACGAGGGATCCGGAAGGGTGCATGATGGAGCGCATTACTACGATATCCAGAGTGCCATGTTGGAGACGGCAAATTCAGGCCTTGCGAGAGAGTTGAAAGGAAGACATTTGCAAATGATTGCAATTGGAGGCTCCATTGGTGAGTACATTTATGGTGGTCACAGCATTCCTCGATGGAGAAAACTAAGACATAGGCATAGGTACTGGGCTTTTTGTCGCATCGGGAAGAGCTTTGGCAGACGGAGGTCCAGCATCGATCTTGCTGGCTTTTACTATCGTGGGTGCCATGCTCTTTTGTACATGTCAAGCGCTGGGTGAGCTTGCAGTAATCTTCCCAATTGCTGGATCATTCTCATCGTGGGCGACTCGGTTCATCGATCCGTCTTGGGGATTCGCAATGGGGTGGAAGTGAGTGTTCTTCTTTTGCTGCTGGCCCGGCCTCATATACTGACTTACACAGCTACGCGATGCAATGGCTCATCGTGTTACCGCTCGAGATCATCGCCGCATCGCTAACCCTCTCTTACTGGGACGAGAGTCTTACACGCGCCATTTTCGTCTCTGTATTCCTAGTCGTCATCATAGTCATCAATATGTTTGGCGTCAAAGGCTACGGTGAAGCCGAATTCATCTTTTCCATCATCAAGGTCATTGCTGTTATTGGCTTCATGTAAGTGTTTTCAACTACATGTTCTCAGCCGTTGCAGGATTAACATTCTACTCAGCCTTCTCGGCATCGTTCTCAACTGTGGCGGAACGCCAGATAGCGGATACATTGGCGGCCGCTATTGGCAAAACCCTGGTGCTTTTAACAACGGCTTCAAAGGAATGTGCAATGTGTTTGTTACAGCTGCTTTCTCTTTTGCTGGCACTGAGCTTATTGGCCTCGCTGCCGCCGAAACAGCGAATCCGCGAAAATCGCTGCCAACGGCTTTGAAGCAGGTGTTTTGGAGGATCACGCTTTTCTATATCGTTGCCTTGACATTAGTAGGACTCCTCGTTCCACATACTGACCCTCGGCTCGTGGGCGGTAACAGCGATGCGGATGCATCAGCCTCACCTTTTGTGATAGCCATCGAAGAAGCCGGCATTCAGGTTTTACCATCTGTCATGAACGCGGTCATCCTTACTGCCGTCCTGTCCGTCGGTAACTCTGCCGTCTTCGGTTCCTCGCGTACCCTTGCTGCTCTTGCAAACCTTCGGCAGGCTCCCAAGATCGTCGGTTACGTCGACCGCAAAGGCCGACCACTCGTCGCTATTGCGATCGCGAGCGCGTTCGGCCTCATCGCTTTCCTTGCAGATCTGCCCGAACAAGGAGCTGTCCTTGACTGGCTCATGGCCATCTCAGGCTTATCAACCATCTTTACATGGGGCTCTATTTGCGTGTGTCATATCCGTTTTCGCCGTGCGTGGGCTGCCCGTGGCCGCTCTGTCTCTGAGTTACCCTTCCAATCCCAGGTCGGCGTTGTGGGTTCTTGGGTTGGTATCACACTGAACGTTCTTGTCATCATAGCGCAATTCTGGGTCGGCGCCTTTCCCATCGGCTGGCAAGAATTAACAAGCGCCCAGGTCGCGCAGAATTTCTTCCATAAATGGGTTGGCGCACCCTGCGTTTTGGCCTTTTATATATTCCACAAGCTTTATTTCCGGACTACGTTTGTGAGAATACGAGATATGGACGTCGACACTGGACGTAGGGACTTTAACGTCCCTATCCTTGTCGCTCAGGAACGAGAGGAACGAGAAGGTTGGCCCCGATGGAAGAGATATTATAAGTTCATGTGCTGAGCCATAGAATTATGACGAAATAAGAAGAGGCCTCGGATATATACATATCATTGTGAATTTGGTAATTACCCGGGTTAGTATGGAGTTGAATTGGATGCACTCAGAGCGCAGGATTCGTTACTTATGACCACCCACTATACTATATTTATATCTGCACTTGTAATAACGCCATGTTTTTGCACATCCGTTTCGAGCCAATTCCATACCGCTGCGAAGTTGTGCTGGCGTCACACAATCAATAACAAGCCACGGCATCAATTAATGTTAATCACTGAAAGACACTCGTATACCGCTTACGATAAGTTTCAGAAAGTGTTATTGCAATGGTATCTAATTCGAGTCCCTCATATGTTTATACGTCGTTTTGAGAACATGCCCGCATCTGATCGTCCACTTCCTGCCAACTAATTTATCTTCGGCAGCCAACCTACATAAGCGTGGCCCTAAAATAAGCAAATAAGAAAGAGTAAGGTAAAGGCAAGAAGAAAAGATAAAAGACGAAGCTTCGAGTGCTATGATGATTTTTCAAGCGGGGTTTCCAAGGCGGAAAGTGATGAACCCTCATGAATCATAACTCGTGCATTTGCATGCAGGTATGCACACAACATGACCGAAGACTGTAGCAACAGGACAGGGTGCACATTTGGGTCTATTTAAGTCTGAGTGCTCTCCCTAGCAAAGCACTCTTCTCCTCTAAAAGTCCCAGAAGTCCTTCTTGGAGGGTGCGTTCTGTCGTGTGGGAAGAGGCTGCTCGTCCAGTTCACCGTAGAGCCAGTCTCGGTTGGTACCCTTTCGACCACCCATGCCGTCGCCTGCAATGTTGATCTTGTGCTTATCTGTATTCTCTCTGACTTCGTTGGTGGGCGCGGTGCTAGATCCTGGTGTTCGGGTGGGAATCGGTTTGGTGGCTGTTGCTTGACCGCCAGATGTCTCACTCGTCTCGCTGTAGAGCCAGTCTCGGTTGGTACCCTTCTTACCGCCCATGCCATCGCCTGCAATGTTGATCTTGTGCTTGTCGGTATTCTCCTTGATTTCACTGGTAGGTGCAGCGTTGGATCCCGGTGTTCTTGTAGGGATCGGTTTGTCGGTCTTTGAGTCACCAGCTGTCTCGCTAGTCTCATTGTAGAGCCAGTCCCGCTCAGTACCCTTCTTGCCGCCCATGCCGTCGCCTGCAATGTGAATTTTGGCACTCTTGGTCAAGGGGACGCCCGACGCAACAACATTGGGTTGCTTGCGGGTGGGAATCGACTCAGGGACATCTTGAGTCTCTCCATAGAGCCAGTCCCGGTTGGTGCCCTTTCGCCCTCCCATACCATCACCGGCGATGTTGATCTTGTGGCTATCGGTGTTCTCGGTTGGTCGGTTTTCCTTCTGGGCGGCAGGAGACCTGTCGTATGTGTCCCAGTTGTGTTGCATCATTTGGACAGCTTTTTGGTGGCCTTCAGGGACGCGATCTTGGGGGTGGGCTGGTGACTTGTCACTGATATCGAAGTGGTGGTCAAAATCTTTCCCGCGGTCTTTCACGTTGGTGATGTTGCCTAAAGCGCGTTCGTTTTGTCCTACGTCCTCCTTGTCAAACAATTGATTCTTATAAAGCCCTAGGCCCTCGTTATGAGCATGGCCCGGGGGATGGGAACCGGGGCGCGGTTGCTGGGGCACTCTCTCACCGTCGTCAAGTAGCTCGAAGTGTGCGTCGGCATCGCGTCTAGGCTTGGCAGCCGGGTGGCCTGGCGTCTCATCCACAGCATCCTTGTCAGTGTCCCAATGGCGAACATCCTGGGTGCGCATAGTTCTGGAGGGCTTCACTTTCTGTGGCGTCACGAAATCCTGGAAAGACCATTGGCTGTCGTGCTTGGACTTTGGTCTTTCATCAAAGGATTGGCCCGGCTTGGGGGCGTCCTGAGGGTCACTGCCATCGGCAAAGTCGAAATGAGAGTACTTCTTTGGGTTAGGGCGGATATATCGCTTGTTCTTGGGCTGAGGCTGCTCCTCCGGCTGCTCGACATGCTCTTGACCGTCGAAAATTCGCGAAGGCTGGAAGTTCTTACCCTGGCCACGCTTGGAAGGAGACATATTTCGACGGCCAGAGCTGGGTGAAGTGGGTTCATCACCCAAGATCTCGGTGAAAGACCGCTGTCGAGGGCGGCTAGTACCAGCGTAAGGAGATACAACACTGGCGGGCTCCGCTTCAATTTCATCTCGAGGACCAAACAGCCTCAAGGATGCATGGGGGTCGCGGAGGGCATTAGTGGAATTAGTTCGGTTTCGCGCAACGGTCTCGTTGTGGCTGGGGGCGACAGGGGCACCAGTGCCAGCCGTTCTGATGCAAGACTGGATAAATGCGATCTGCTCTCGGCTATCTCTAATGGGCCAGTTGCGGCCAGACTTTCCAATCACTTCAACTTGCTTGAGGAGCGAGCCCTGGTCCCATTGAAGTCGAATCTGGAGGATTTTGCCCGCTTCATCGAAGGTCACAAAGTGAGTCTGTGGGGAGCAGTTAATACATGGTTCGTGTTGGCGCGAGGCAGAAAAAGAGCACTCCAAGCAGAGAAGCAACGTACAACGGGGAGGTAAACATCACGGGCAGACAGAAAATTGTCATCAAGGCCAGGGAGATAAGGACCGCCTCCAGTTTGAAAGCCGAGACCTGTGTCAACTTCTAAGACAATGACGTTTTGTCCATCAACAATATTGAACACTTCCTCCTTCTTCTTTGCGACCTGCTTCTGGAGCGCATTCAGATGTTTGATGATCTCAGTAGGACCAGAAAAGGTCGTAGTCGTGGTAACGTAGTGCAGCGCAGCCGTATCGGCCAGCAGAGACGAGCTGGGCGCAGCAAGAAACTGCTTATAAGTGGCCGCCATGTTGATGGCGAAGTTGCGACTTATGCAGGGTAAGGAACGTTGTTGGTGTCTCAAACGAGTTGGCGGCAGAATAAGTAAACACAAAGAGCCGCGGATTGGGGTGGCCGAGGCAGAAGAACACGATGGCGAAGACAACGATGATGCAAGAAACAAGTTGCGAAAGCTTTGAGTTGGGGAGAAGGAGAATTAAAGTGAAGGGAGGACGGAAAACACGAATTCAAAACAAGCACGTGGAGTTGCAAGTGAAGGTGGGATTGGGATCTTAAACTTAGTGGGAGAGTCAGGGGTCCAAAGGGACCTACCTACCTGCCTATTGGTGCTGCGACTAACGGCCCCCTACCTTACCTTGGACTTTAGTTCCCCTCATCTCCCTAGCCAAGCATGATGAAATCTAGGATTTCCTCATGATGGCGCAGTTAAGAAGCTAACGTTTCTAATCTTGGCTGGATCTGAGGGGAAAGTTGAAATGAAAGGGATTATAGCCCTGGCCAGAAATGATGCACTTACACGACGCCTGTTTGTTTATGCCAGCCATAGGCTACCGCTCTCATCCCGATTGTATATGACGAAACGGACGGCACCTAGAATGTTTGTTGGAGTAACAGATTAGTACCCAGTCGCAATTCGTTGTCTGGTGATGGAGAAAACTTGGGTTTCGCTGTGGCTTCAGGAACGCTATGTGAGTAGTCCCTGAAGATACTTGATAGTCGATTCACCACTACCTACCTCCTCAGTTAGGTTAGTTAATCATTCACAAAGGAGTTACTTCAACCCTTAAAGCTTTAAATCGAGATTCGCGACATTCAAGCAAATCTGCCAAGTTGGACTGTATGCCCCTCTTCATCTTTCCGTTTGTTTATGTTTGTTGGTTTCGTTTGTATACCTACCTAGGATAGGTAGGCAAGGGGAGAAAAAACTCGGGACCTTGACCTAAGCGATAAAAATAGTTAGGCAAATCTTGCCTAAGCTTATGGCACTCTTTGCTACATTTATTTTCATACCCTGTACCAGCGTCCAATGTTTTCTTGCTCCCTGAGGGTAGGTCATGTCGTCAAAGGATTAATAGCCCAGCTAGCCCAGGTACTAATATGGACCCATTTGCCCTCGAGTCCCACTTGTTGACGGGATGAATATCAAGGTCAGGTTGACTCCTATCACAAATTTCAATAACTCTGAAGCTAGTGCCATTATATGCAGATGACCGCTCTCATTACGACTCGGTGGCGAGGTATCACTGTATTGGGATCACATCAATGTCTCGATAATGTATGCTTATTATGCTTGCAACCGCCTCTGCTCCGACTTGAGTCTACATCTCAAACGGGCATGGCTTTCATGTGAGACTAATGTACCGTACCTGAGAAATACGGAGCCCCGTGCCGAACCAGGGGCCGCATCACCTCGCTACTCCACAACGTTTCAGCTCTTCTGATACACCTTTCCTATCTAGGAATATCTGGGCATTGCTATCAAGGGCAATGGCCCGTGGTAAAGCTGGCTCACTCTAATGGTAAAATGTTGATCACAAAATCATCGGTCATGAAATATATGGCATGGAAGATGTGGCTTGGTGACAGTTGTTTTACCTGCCTCAAATATACTTATCACTCAGCTTTACGAACGTCACGGATTGGATGCTCCTGTCAAATTGGCACCTTTTATAGCCTGCAGCTATCCATAAGGAGTTTGTTTTTGGGAGCATCATGGGCTAAGTCGATAATATAAAGGCTGACTTATGCTACAATATCTGATACTCACGAATTCATAGTGCAATTCGGTAAAAGGGACAAAGTAACGCTTCATGTGTGATGCCGAGAGTTTCGCCTTCACATCAAACATGATTGTTCGATCTCGGCGTGTTCGCCATTGCACAATACATATAAATCACTGGAATTCCATATCCTCAAAGTCATCATTTGAATGCTTAGTTTGTTCTAGGTAGCTCAAGATTATTCGCTGATCATCCATGCCAAGAATGCGATCTTCCAAACATGGTACTTAGACTACCTGACTGGTAGCGCCACTCCATGCATTCCAGCACTGTTGAAGTGAAAAAAAAGGAGGAGCGAATAATGTTAGCTACATGGACAGGCGATTCGGGGATCGCTATCAGCAGATTGTACTTGTGAATCATTT